CTACATAGTCCACGACTTCTACGACGTCTAGGAGTTATACGCTGTGACGCTCACTTCACTTTATCAGAGTGTATATCAGAGTGTACCCTTTCTCCTTTCTTGGTGTTCATCCTGCAGCCTTGCACGAAAGCACAATCCTCGTGCCACCCTAGATATCTGCGCACTGATTATCAAAGAGCAGGTGGTTAAATCATCGCGTATTTGCAAGCCACTTTGAGCAAATTAAAAGTATGAAAAATTTTGATTAGAATCGCGCCATAGAAAAACTCCATTCAAAATCGACTCAAATGTTGTATTTTCCAGGTTCATAGTGAATTACACCGAATGCGACGAATCAGTGGCCGTCGGTGTCGCAGTGGAATTCATGAAAGAACGTAACGTCGACGTGGTTATCGGACCGCCCTGTCCAATGAGTAAGCTTTTTATAGGAAATCCCAGTTTCAAGATTCACCTTATCAATAAGGTTGAGGTTCAAACAAAGAAAAACGAGAGAAATGATGCCTACTGTAGTATCCCTTTCAATCCCTCTCACTGTTAGAGCGGAAATATTCGGCTCTGCTATGCCTCCGTCCGCAGGAAATTTTGTTCTATATCAGCCATACTGCGCCAACATCTTTGCATGATGACTGAAAAGAAATTTCGAATTTTTACAAAGATGAGACTCAATAGAAAGATGTCTTAAGTGAAATAAAAGCGCAACAGACTGTTTATGGGTGAAATGAAAAAAAAACATCATTGTTGACATCAATGTTTTGAAAGAAAAGCAACGGTTTGAATCTTGCATAATCCTAAATTTGTTCAGCGGCTGAAATAATGGCGTATCTTTCTACTTATTACAAGAAAATTATGCTCGGATGGGGTTTCCTGATTGGTTCGCTATTCGCCGATCTTCACAAATTTCCCTATGTGACGAAAGTTATTCCAGATTCTCTAATGTGAGTTACGATTTTTATTTTCTTAGTAACGGGAGCTTCAGTATCTTATCCGATTACATAAGAGAAAGTTTATTATTGAAAAAACGGGTTTTTGCTCTTTATATTAGTGAATACCTCGAATACGGTCACTTGCTTGTGGAAGCTCCCCCATGACGAAGGCGGTCCGTTTAACGTGCGACGCGGCTGCGACTCGCGTGTTTAAGCATCTTTTATCACTGGAGCTCACGCGCGCGCACTCCTCGCGTACATGGACAGCCGCCTTCGTCCTGGAGTAGCTTTTGGTTACAGTAGAGTCTTTGGGGTCCCAACGTCCCAAAGCATACATCAGTAACGTCACTCACTGCGCGATTCGGCACGCAACCATTTCAATGGTTCTTCATCACTGAGCATGAAAGCGCTTTGTGGAACAAGTTTTGATAGTTTGTGACAATATACACTTTCTTTCAACTAAATTGGCGGCGGGAAGGGGGGCTTCCTCTCGACCAGTCGCGAGTGCGAGCGATCGCCTTACAGCCGCCAATCCCATTGAATCAAAGGGTACAAAGGCTGCGTGGCTATGCATATAGAACTACTCACGGATCTGTGGAGATCGCAAGATGCCGAATCGCGGGTTTCTGCGAATTGTTGGAGTCGCTGGAGCTTTGGCTCGATTATGAGGAACGGTGAGTTTTCGGCCGCTGCTCAAGCATCTAGCTTTCTTAGTTTCCTTTCTCCTGTCGAACGCTCTTGTGCTATCAATTACCTGAAGCGATTTAAAAATAATGGGTAGTCTACTTCGTTTGAAATATGTGGCTTCCTGAGGGCAATGGCCGCAGAACATACCGACATTCAAGACCCTTCAGAGCCCTATATGCGTGGGCTATCGCTTGGGAAAAATCATCTTGAGGCGTATTGATAGTGATGAAGCTGTTGAGACCGCAACTTGATCAAAATGACTTTATTGAAGGTCTGGATTTTTGTAGACAACAATACAGGGGTTAGAAATATAAGAAAATTTCCGCAATTTACCTTTATCTGAAAGGCCTTCACTGAATTGCCGATTCCGATTGCCGTCGCATGCTCAGGATCCCACAGAAGGTGGGGTCCACCTAAAAAGCTCCCTAACGAAAAATTCTGATGAAGTTGTTATACGAATATCGCGGCGAACAACTTTTCTGAATAGATTCAACTTTTTGATCGATGATTCATCTGTTCCGTTTCTGTTGTCGTTCTAAAGGAGCAACCAACAATTTGAAAAATCCAAGTTTTCTCGAGTTCTGAGCAATTGGTTTCGTCTCGATTTTTTCCGGTGCTGTCATTTAACGACAACCCGCTAGATGAGAGTAATCTTTGACAATTTGTTTTTCAATCCTTGTATCAGTGACTTTTCAAAACTCGACACCCGATTTCCTTCATAAAAGTCATTTCAAAAAGAAGTTACGTCAAAGCTGATACGCCGCAATGTGTATTTTCCATCCAAATTAGGGTGTTGTTTTTCCCTCAAGCCCCGGTTGCAATCGAATCAACTTGCAACTATTAATGATATTCTAGGATGATGAAAAGTGTGCTACAGCTTTTCGAATTGTATAAATGGGACAGAGTTGCTGTTTATTATACAACAAACGAAGTTCGCTACTGCGACAGTATCATCGAGGATGCTTTGGTGAGCAAATAATCCCGCTGCCACATTATAGAAACACCTTTGGTTTAGGCAACATTTGCCGATGGAACCTCATATTTTGTGGAAGTAGTGCAAAAAGTGCTATGGAATCGTGTGGATAGCACTACGTTTAGAGAGCAGATGAAGCGCACAAAGACGGTTGCGAGAAGTTTGTGGCAAGTCCGTTAGTATCAACCGTTTTCGAAGTTGCGTTTTTCAGTAGTGGTAATGTGCTTGGATACGGCGGCAGAACGTAGAACTTTTATGAAAGTTGCATCGTCCTTGGATATGGTTTCCGACGACTACGTGTACGTTCTTCTGGCCATGAGAGGCTTTGGATTTGGTAAGCTATATCCTGATTTACCTTACAAGGAAATGGTCAAAAATGGAAGTGGCCGATCCGGACAAGCTGCATACTATTAAATGCAGCATAAAACGATGACTTCAAATCTGTATTTCCTAT